CAAGTGTCTTGTGAACAGAGGCAGCTAATCGGGAAATCAGGAAATTTCCCCAAATCACCTGCGAATGGTTCCCGAGCATCTGGCTTCCGATTATTTTTTTTAACTCAGACTGTCCCTTCAGTATTACATACAGTTCTGGTCACCACAACATAAGTCGGCTGCCCAGGCCGTTGGCGCAGTGCAGAAGAGAGCAACAAGGATGATCCCCAGTGGTAGAGGAATGAGCTATGAGTAATAATTAGAGAAGCTAGGGCTTCTTAGTCTTTAGAGAAGACTACAAAGAGGGGACCTCATAGAGGTATACAGAATTTTAAATAGGATTGAAAAAGTAAACCCAGATCAATACGTTAAGATGCACCAAAACAATAAAACAAAAGGACATGGATTTAGAGTTGTAAAGGGCAATTTCAGGCCAGATACCAGAAAGATTTTATTTATGCAGAGGGTAATCAACGACTGGAACATGTTACCAGGACAGGTGGTAGAGGTCAGGACATTAGACTCATATAAAAGCTTGATACTCTGATGAGGACAGTAAGGTGGGTGTTCTGGAAGGATGAGATCGATGGGCCAAAAGGCCTTCTTTCACCCAAACCATTATTGTGAAAGAAATGATTATTGATTGACTATATCATTCACTGAATTAAAGGCTCAATCTAATCAATCTTTAGTACTGAAGAAGTGTTGTCCTTAACAGACATGACATTAAACTGAGGTCTCAACTGCCTGTTCTTCAGGTAGATGTCAGGCGAGATCTATAACCCTGTTCAAAAAGAATAGGAAGTTGCTCCCAAAGTCCTAGCCGACAGTGCTCTAGATCCTTTGATTGTTCATCTCATGGCTGTGAACGTACTGTGCAAAATTACTGCCTCTCATTTTGCCAACAAAATAAACTATCACAATACTTGACAGTAATTACTGTTAAGTGGTTTAAGACAATTCAGCAAAATAATAATCGTTGCATTTGATGTAGCTCCTTTACATCGGAAGCATGTCTCAAAGCACTTCATAAGATTCACTGTAAAGTGTAGCAAATATTTTTTTGCAAATTTGGTGCATTTTACTCAATATAGAACTAAAAAAGTGGGGATACATAATTTTAGTCGAAATCATTTCTGAATTCCTTCAACCTGGTGCATAATACTTGATAAAACAATACTGAATAAGAAATTAGCCTTATGAGGAATGTAGCTAAACCATTATTTTGTACAAACTGAAGTTGAATACGAGAACACTAACCAGTGTTTTAGTTTTCGAAAAAAAACTATATGCAGCAACAACTTGCATTTGTATAGCGTCCATCACGCAAGGTAGCATTTGGGAACGCTGCCTTTGATTCATTACTGGCATTTTTTATAGATATACTGTACTTGCCCAATGAACACTTACTTACCCTCACAATTTTGACAACCACTTATGAATATTAAATGTTTTCATAACCATACTGAAGTAAGAAAGTACTTCCTCATCTTCCCCCCCGCCAAGACACATGCACAAAATCTTCAAATTCTGCATTACATGCATTACAAGCAACAGCTTTTGCAGAGGTCATTGTCAAAGGTTTTTCTCCTGTGTTTTTTCAATTTACAAAATATGTAGTAAAAGAAAGATTTTCATTTCCTGTGGATCTAACTTCCTGTTTAACTCTTTGTAGAAAATCAAGTCTGGGATTAGCTTCCATATTATTTTTAAGTCAGATCGCAGTAACTTTAAAAAGTGAAGTTCAGATAGTGCATTATATTTTGCTCCAACACAGAGAGAGAAAAAATGAGAATGATTCTAGAAATTTCTTGTTCTACTGGTGCCCAAGTCGTGTTACACCCAACTGGTAGCTATTTCCTACCATCTCATCCATTGTATGGGGTATAGAGAACATGAGAATGAAGTAAAACAAGTTTTAAAATGAAGGCTAATAAAAGGAATTAAAAGCAAAGCCACCATATCTTAAGAATCCAAAATAGTACAATAACTATGTGTTCTTGAAGAATACTTAGCAATAAAACAATTTATGTATCCGCCTTTATATATCTGCTTTGTATTGGTAGAACAATACTTTCTCTAGTTTAGGAAGCAGACAACAGCCTGTTTTGGTTTTATCTTGGACTGTCTTTAGTAGATTTACCCAAAACTAGAACTATTATTTCATTACATTTGACAGTTATATTGTATTATTATTTTATATTTCTATTTGTAAATCCGTTACTTCCTATAATTCGATTCCAGGATACAGTATGCAGTAGTTATAATAATGATAATAATAATCCTTACTCTTGATATAGTGCCTTATCACGTCATCGAGATGTCTCAAAGCATTTCACAGGATGTATTTCACAGGATTGACTGTATTTTGTGGGCTAATACAGCAATGTCCTCAAACTGCCATGGAGTGAGTGATCAATTTTATTTGGGGGATTTGTTGGCCAGGACACCAGGAGAAACTCCCTTCTCTTTTCAAATAGAGCCACGTGATCTTTAACATCCACCTGAAAGGATAGATGGGACCTCGGTTTATTCGGTGTCAGCCTGGCTCAGTTGGTTGCACTCTTGCCTCTGAGTCAGAAGGTCCTGTAGCTCAGTGGTTAGAGCACTCGCTTTGCAAGCGAGAGACCTGAGTTCAATTCCAGGCAGGTCAGGGCGAAACCTTGGGCAAGTTTCCTTACTTCACACGCCTAATAATAATCCCTCCAAAAAACCAAAAACAATAATAAATTGTTCAAAATGTTGAAAATGTTCAATCTACGACTGTTTGTGGGACATTGCTGTGCGCAATTGGCTGCCGCGTTCGCCCACAAATATGCAGTCAATTCACTTTACAGTGTGTTCTGGAAGCACTTTGGGATGTCCTCCCGATGTGAAAAGCGCTGTATCAAATGCAAGGATAATTATTGTTATTATTAAGGTTGTGGGTTCAAGCTGTACAACAGGATTTGGGACTCACAATCTATGCCTGGCTCTCCAATTCAGTGCTGGGGTTGTCCCAGATTGTTTAGGGTGCCATCCTTTGGATGAAGCATTACATCGAGATCCTTTTGGCCTGTTCAGAAGGATAAATATCCCATGGAACTACTCAAAAAGAAAATGGAGTTTATACCCCGCAAATAAAATTGGTTACTCACTTTATCCATGTTTGAAAGACATTGCTGTAAGCAAATTGCCTGATGGATTTGCCTACAAAATAGTTACAACATTTACAGTGTTGCCTCATTTTCCACAACTTTTCTGGCCTCTGAGTTAGAGATATCATGAGTTTATACTGAGTTGTCAAACGTGAAGGTATAGTTTCTGCTCTGACTATTCTGAAAGTAATCTGTCACGGCTGTTATCAATTTCAGAATATTGAAAACTTCTTCATATTCTGAACCTTCTCAGCTCAAATGAATGTTGCCTGTTTATTCAAGGCTATGAGAGCTATATTCTGTTGATTCATATATTTTTTCCATGCATTGCCCCAAGCAGTGCACAAAACTGCATCTACAGCCTAATCAATAGTACCTCCTATACTTTTACTCAGTGCCTCTCAATTATAAAACCTAATATCATACTTACTCTTTGCATGTCTTTGCTGTCTTTCAAGACATGTTTAATGCTCTTCACACTCAGATCCTCTATTCTTCCACTGCTTGGAAAATGTTATTCTCTGTGTATGTTTCCATTCTGTGTTATTTCTCCCCAAAATGTACCACTGCATATTTATCTGATTAAACCTTGTATACAACAACTTTATATAGTGTCCTTCATGGGGGTAGTGTCTCAGATATGCCAGATATCTGCCCTCACCGAACCTTGTCCTTCTGTATTCAAGATTAAGACTAGATTCAAGATAGTTAAATATTTTTTCAGAATTTGCTAAAATGGACAAATCCTTATGTAACTCATATTGAGAAGCCCTGAGCTGTAGGAATTGCACCTTTAACGTTACCCTGATTGGCATGGCCCAAACACATTTAATGCGAATTCTGAAACAAAAGCCTCTCTGTCTGCTTGGAAGAATCCAGATCCAAAAAAAAGAAAAGGCTGAAATGACACCCATTTCCTATAAGAGAACCCAATCATTAAAGAAAATGGAAAGGAAAACTGGATTGTATTTCAGAAAATTAATGAAACTTTTTCGGTCCTGAAAGAGTTAATTGAAAGCTATAAAATTGTCCAAGGCCTTCACTAATGTTGTAATAATAATTTATCCAGACAATTACCACATGCTAGAACTTTTTGAGCTCTAATTCAGCTTTATTAATAATGAATAAACTTGCAATTTTCTCAGGTTGCTTTGTGCCTGTGGGAATTATTTCAATGAATATTTCAACACATTATTTTAATCATGGTTCTGCAACCTCAAGTAAAGCAATATTTTATAGTTCCAAGTTCAGTCTGCAGAGGGACCGTAGTCATTAAACTGCATGCTGTTTGGTTTGAGGTCCCATTGCATGATTTACAAGCCTTGTTAAAAAACACTGTAAAAGGAAGCAAGCTGTGCCATTTATAAATGTAATTTGATACTGTATTTGTTAATGGTCTTGCTCTGATTTATGTAGATGGCAGTTTGCACTGCTTTTTGACTTGGGGTAGTTGAGTTTGTTAATGCTTCCTTATTCTCACAGAAATAAGTGCAAAAATGTCATTTTAATCCAAATGGACCATAATTTCTATTTTTATATGAACAACGATTCAATATATATCATACAATGCAGCCGAGTGGAATACAATACACGTCAAGCATTGCAGAGATTAACCCTCTAATAATCATACAAAAATTAAATGTACATACTATAACTAAAGAAATACTCCACTCATTCTTCTAAATGTTATGTGAGATTGAGTATTGTACTTGGTCAATATAATATTGAAACACTGTTTCTCAAAGTATGACAAAATCTTTCACCCATCAGGTTGAAGAGAAGGAATAATGGAAATACTTAGGGAATTTCCGAACACTTGAGATTCAGTAATTCTCAACATGTATGTGCTTTCTCTCTTTGCAGTCAGCAACATGATTTCTGGCGTCTGGACTATTGGGAAGATGACCTACGTCGACGACGCAGGTTCATACGTAATGCTTTTGGATCCACACATCCTGAGGTCCCGCTGAAGACTGCTGAAGACTATGGTTAGTTTATATTCATATTATTTTTGAAAAGCTCTTTCTGAGAGAAAAAAGGAAATCTACGATGGCAGACTGGCTTTTCATAAAACAGTGAAATTGAATTGTGGTTTAACAATTTCCACTGTTGCATCTTTTCCAAGAGTAAGGTCATGGACACAACATTAATATCTCTTTATAATATATTATAGTAGGCACTGAATGTTTACCTACATTCAATAGATCATTTATTTTATTCTAGCGATGAATCCATGCCCCAGAATCTCAGGCCCGAACTAACACCTATCCTGTAAAATCTTTTTGTCTTAAATTAAAATTGTACAGAATTGTGGAAAATTATTAAATTTATTATGAATTTGAAAGCTTGTTCATTTTAAGAAAACAGTAAAACAGCTTTCAAATTGATCCTGAATGTGAAACACAATCCTGTGTGATGTGGACAGCATGGCGCACTGACTAAAGCTATGTGTTTACCAATAATATCTCTTTTATAAGGATACAAAGTTTATTTTTGAGTAAGTTGTGTTCACTTACGTGTGTCTTGTTTGTACTGAAAATAGTTAATTGTGCCATAATTTTGCAGGATTATGTGGCTAAATGTGCCATACAGGTATTATCTTGGTAGTAAGGATCACTGTGAAGAATGTGGCATTAGGCAAATTTATGTATTTGGCTTGTCTGCTCAAAATCATGAAGTCAGGACTATTTGGTGTGTTTTTTTATGGAAAAGAAAATATTCATTCACAAAATTTCCTTTTGGGATGGATGGGAGTAAATATTTTTCCTAAGCCTACAATACAAAGAAAAAGTCTCTGGGGTTATTGCATTACAGTTCTCACACCTCTTGGTGATTATAATGAGCTGACTAATGTTTTAGGTTGTCGTCTGAAAGGGATTTGCTTCAGTCTGATGGTACACTTCTGCCACTGGTATTGAGAGTATAATTAATAATGAGTTGTATAGAGCCCTTGTCTTGTACAAAACCTTTTATTAGGAGTACACTTCAACTCTTGTTTGTGAAACCTTTAGTAATTGGTAATATTGAGTATCCTGATCCAATTTATATCATTCACACGGGAGTGAGTATAAACTAAATATTGTTGTTGCAGGATTATGCTCTAAATGTTGGGGCAGCAGGCATTGTATCTGGTGCACCAATTCACCAAGCCCTGCTGGCAGTTGTTTCAACCACAAAATGGATTCATATGACTTTCTCTTCTTGGCTAATATCTATCTCCTCTCCCCTCCACTGCTAGACTGCTTTCACTCTCCACACTGCTGGATAGTAAGTCTTCTTACGTTCAGGCAGAATCACGAATGCTCCACCCTATCTGCAGTACATTACCGACTATTCCAGACTACCTGTTTAACCTTGCTTTCATTCATCTATGCGCAATTAGCTGCTGCATTTCGTCCACAAAATATACAATCAATTCACTTTACATTATATTCTATGAAACGCTTTGAGACATCTAGAAGACGTGATAAGGCTCTATATAAAATGCAAGGATTATTATTATTATCTTTTGAAATCCCCACTCCCTTCAGCATCCAACCCCATTTTAGGTGCCTAGCCAGTAGCCAGCAGTGTTAAGTCCTTTGAGAAGTCCTTCTGATATGAAAGTTGCTACATAAATGGAAATAGTATTGTCTTAAAACACATAATCATCCAGGATTTTGGAAATGTTTATCATTCAGTCTTTATTTGGAAGCAAGTTTCCAGCAGTTCTTTATAGAATCTGCAATCAATGTAAACCTGAGTTTTAAACATTTCCCAAATTCTGGCAAATCTTACATTTTAAAATAAGGATATTAAGAACATGAGGCTTTTCAGACCTCTTTGGTTTCACTGCAGAATACAAAAACTGTCACCTTTATGTCAAACTGTGACACCACAATAGGGCAACCTACCCTCAAATATCTATTGAAGAGATCCATGTGTTTACAATAAGGGAAAAACACATATCCTGAACAGATCTATGCTGATGAGTTTTTACAAGTTGGTTTGCATGTCGGATGGTCTGCAGCATGCAGCTGAATCTGGACAAGACGGAAGCCATACTCCTTGGCGCTTGTCAAACATCTTCATTCCTGCGGATCTAAACTCCTCAACCTCCTTGGGCTTTCCCTGACCAGGACCGCTTTCTTCCACCTCCGCCACATTGCCCGCCTCCGACCGTACCTTCCCCAAATGCAGCCAAAGCCCTTGTGCATGCGTTTGTCACCTCCCGCCTGGATTACACCAATGCACTCTTCAACGATCTCCCCAGCTCCACCATTCAAAGGATCCAGCTCATTCAGAACTCTGCCACCCGCATACTGACCCGGACCAAACTCGTACCTACATCTCACCAGTTCTGGCCAGACTCCACTGGCTTCCCATCACCGAACGGATCGACTTCAAGATCCTCACTCTTGTGTTCAAATCCATTTACTCTCTGGCCCTCCCTACTTCTCCGATTTCCTCACTCCCCAATCCTCCACCCAGCGCCTCCCCTCGACTGGCAGCGGCCTCCTGCTCGTCCCTCACACCCTCTGTCCCACCATCGGAGGTCATCCTTTCAGCCACTATGTCCCAAAACTCTGGAACACTCTCCCTCAATCCCTCTGCCTTGCCCCCTCTCTCCCCTCTTTCAAGTCCAGCCTGAAAACTTTCCTGTTCGACTGTGCTTAAGGCCACCTCCCCCCTCCCCCTGGCTCGGAGTCAGGCTCCACCACTGTTAAGTGCTCTGAGACACTGCCCTGCGTGGAGGATGCTATATAAGTGCAAGTTGTTGTTGTTGAATTAAATAGTAGAATTTTATGCAACATGAATCTGTAAATTTTGCAAAAAGGCCAGAGAACTTGTGTCTTAAAAATTCAATTTGTGAATGTACTTTTCTGTGTAGCACTGACATCTAATGGAAGCTTGAAAGCTAAGCAGAATGGCTACTCAGGAAAGGCAGTGGACTGTCTGTTAATCGGATTTAAAATGTCAACCTTACACCACTGTGTATAGCTCAGAAGTGCTTTCTGGAGAAAAAATTAGGCTTTTCTTTAGGTCTTGCCATACAGAATTTAATTATTGGGAGTAGCATTGTGTGATCAAGTAACCATTGAAGGGGTTACAAATAAACTTGCCTTATCTATGGCTAAAGATTCCACATTAAACACAATTATTAAAGGGTTTTGTTCTATAAATTGCTCCCCCTAAAAACAACAGGAGACTACCTGACTTTCTTAGAGCCAGAAGGAAAGAGATGAAGAATGAATAGAGAATAGGAGGAAAACGTAATACCATATAATGCAATTACAAGAAATTTCATTTCTGGAGACCATTATAATTGGCACAAATAGAAAGGAATAAATAGACTGGTTAATATGTATGAAAAGCATGATGATCAATGTACCATTAAAACAAAGGATTTTTTAATTGAGTTTAATACAGAAAATATTTTTTGTTGTTTAGAAACGCAATTGGCCTAAATAGGACACTGCAGATAATCATGCAATCTCAATTTTAAATCAGGTATTATGACACTGAATTTCACATGAGGAGTATCACCAATCTTCAGATATCATTAGATATATTTTACTCTGAAGATCAAGTTGATTGAAGAGGTTATTCTTTTTCTTGGAAAATTATGGTTGATGTTGTAATTTTTTTTAATTCATTCCCGTTTCAAAGTATTGTGAGGTTATGCTTTTTCCTTCTTGGTTTCAAAAACAAGAAGCCAGTTCTGACTGTACAAATATTTTCTGTGCCTGACTGTATCAGTCCAAGATAATTTTCCCAGTGCTGAGTGGCACGACAAACAGGCCTGGGAATATATGTACTAAATTTCATAGAGTAGGTGGTATTGAGGATAAACCCTTATCAGCCAAGGATTTCTGGAATTATGACCGCAAGACCAAAACTCCTGGACTTGAAATCAGACTTTGAATTCCAGTGCAAGTATTGTTTTTGTACTTAAACCAAAAGCAGTCAGTATTATTTTATCATTTTGGAAAACAACAAAGAAAGAAAACGCTTAACTGCAGAAAAAAGCTATCTGCTTTGAAGCAAGGATGCAATTGAATAAAAACAACAAAACCAGAGCATATTTGAAAGAGTGTAGTCATATTTTATGTAAAAGAGAAGCTATTTCTTGCAATTAGTTTTCCTTTTTTTTGTTAATTGTTTCCTTAAAGCTTTTAATTAATTTAATATTTTAATTATAAGAATTGCCGTGAACTGAATATTTTGCAGTTAACACTATTCTGATTTTCTAGACTATCGGAATAGGATTTTATCATTCTTACTGAACAAACTTAGTCTTGGTCTGAGTTAGTATAACCTACTGTAACTGTCAGGTATCATTTTGGCATTATCTGCATAAAAGTATGGCAGGGAGGTAAATGTGCTGCTCGTGCCTATCCTCTGTAGCTGAGATCAAAGATGCCTACATTATAACCATTTCTGATCAGTCACTGCAGTAAAGGCCAGTCGGACCCAGCAAAGCAAAAACATGCAGTAATAATGACAAAGTTAATCAGTCATTTCTCTGGCAGAAAATAATGAGGTATGCTGAAGAAGGCAGATGGGAGAATTTTTCTGCTCCTCAGAGATATGTCTGTGCACCACCCTATTCATCTAAGCATGTGCACCCATCCAGTTATGACCTTGAAGATTGCAAAGATTCATGTAACAAATAAAGTGCAAAATCAATGTTGACTAGAAATGCAGGTATATTATAAGGATATGGCTTTTGTTGAAAAAGCATTATATTGTAAATAAATGGAAATGTTATGTAAGAGATGGGCTAAGGCAAACCTATACATTAGCATTAACATCTGTTCACCTCACATCAAGGTGACTTTCAGGTAGGCACAAAAATTAAATAAAACATGAAATAGAAAGCCAAATTATTCCTACAGTACTTTCACTTCAAGAGGAGCACAATTACAAAACAAAATAGACACAAAGGGTTTGAGAAATTGAGTATCTGAGTTTGACTTTCACCAACAAAATATACAGTCAATTCACT